TTTGCTTTAGTTACTCTATGTTCAAGAGCAAATTTCAGTCTGTTCTGACATCCATTTTGGTCTTTTCTTTCCTGTCTTTTTGTGACCTTTTGCTTTCTGCATGTATTATGTCCTCGATGCCATCCCACAGTTCGTCTGGTCTTTGGTCATTAGTGTTTGATGCATCATATCTATTCTTGAGATGGTTTCCAAATTTAGGTGGGGTATACTTAAGGTCATACTTTATAGTAGTGGTCAGCAAACTTTAGCCCTTGAACCAAATCTTACCCACTGCCTGGTTTTGTAAATAAAGTTTTATTGGAACATAGCCTCATTTGTTTATGTATTGTCTATGTCTGCTTTCATTCTATAATGTAAGAGTTGAGTAGTTACAACAGAGATTGTATAGTCTGCATAGCCTAAAATGTTTACTATCTGACCCTCTACAGAAAAGGCTTTCTGACTCCTACTTTAGAGTTTATACTATACATCTTTAACTTCTCACAGTCTACCGTCAAGTGATATTATACTGCTTCATTTATATTAGAAGGACCTTGTTGTTGTCATCATTAGCTGCTGTCCAGTCAGCCCTTGACTCATGGTGACCCCATGTATTACAGAGCAGAACTGCTTCGTAGGGTTTTCTCGGCTGTAGTCTTTACAAAAGCAGGCCTGTCTTCCCTTGGGCCACTGGGTGTGTTCAAACTGCCTACGTTTAAGCGAGCAGCTGATTGCAAACTGCTTGCACCACCGAGGCTCTTTTAGAAGGAATTTTCGGCAGTTTATTTTTATCTTTCCCCTCCTGGCCTTTTGATATTAGTGTCTAATATTTTACTTCTACATATATTATAGGCCCACAATACATTGTTATTATTTTTGCCTTAAATAGTAAATTATCTTTAAAATAATTATAAATTTATATTTAAATTTATCAACTTATAGTCATAATTATATGCTTATCCACACAGTATTTTTATATGCTTCCTTCTTTTATGTAGATCCATCCATATTTGCAACTAGTATAATTTTTCTCCTGCCTGAAAGATTTCCTTTCACAATTCTTGTAGGTTCTATTTGTTGGTATTGAGTTCTTTCAGGTTTTGTATGTCTTAAAAAGTCTTTATTTTTGAAAGGTATTTTTACTGGGTGCAGAATTCTAGGGTCACGGTGGTTGTTGTTGTTGCTTTCATTATGGTAAAGATGTTGCTGTATTGTCTTCTGGCTTATATTGTTTCCAGTGAAAAGTCTGCTGTCATTTTTCTATTTGCCACTTTGTATGTAATGTGCCTTTTTTTCTTTACCTAATTAAAAAAAATTCTAATCACTTTTAAAAAGCAATTTAATTATGATGTGCCTTGGTGTAGTTTTCTCCATGTTTCTCATGCTTGAGGTTCATTGACCTTGTTGGATCTGGCAGTCTATAGTTTTTATCAAATTTGTAAAATTTTCAGTCAATTTTTTTGAAATATTTTTTTCTGTTCCTCCTCTCCCCACTCTTCTTTGTTGGGAAGTCCAATTACATGTATGTTAGGCTGCTTGAAGTTTTCCCACAGCTCACTGATATTCTGTATTATAGTCCTTTTACTCTCTGTGCTTTATTTTGCATACTTTCTGTTGCTATGACTTCCAATTCACTAGTCTTTTTTCCTACAGTGTTTAATCTGCTGTTAACTCCATCTAGGGTATTTTCAGTCTCAGACATCCTAGTTTCATCTCTAGAGGTTTTATGTGGCTCTTTTTTATATCTTCCATGTCTGTCCTTAAAATGTTTAATTTTTTCTATAGTTTCATGAACATATGGAATACAGTTATATTAGCTATTAATATAATTAATATTAATAATAATTCTATCATTATGTCATTTCTGAGTCTATTTTGATTATTTTCGCCTCACTGTGAATTGTATTTTCTTCCTTTTTGCATGCCTATTAATTTTTATTGGCTACCAGATATTTTGAATTTTACCTTGTTGGGTGCTGTATATTTTTGCATTCCTATCCATATCCTTGTGTTTTACTCTAGGAGACAGTTAAATTACCTGGAAACAGTTTGATCCTTTTGCTTCTTGGTTTTTAAGCTTTGTTAGGTGGGACCAGAGTAGTAGTTAGCCTAGAGGTAATTTTGCCATATTACTGAGGCAAAAATATTTTGTGTGCTCTGCCTGATGTTTCATTCTGTTATACATAGGGTTGCTATGAGCTGGAACCGACTCGACAGCACCTAACAACAACAACCTGATGTTCCATAAGTTATTAAATTTTTCCACCCTGACTTGTGGGAATAGGACATATTTCTGGCCCTGTGTGAGCCTCAGGTATTGTTCACTCTAATCCTTTCAGGTGGTTCTTTCCTCAGCCTTGGGTAGTTTTCTCAAATGCATACACTGATCGTTACTCAGGTAACTGGTTGAGGGGAACCCTGTGCAGATCTCCAGAGCTCTTTTTCTGTGTAGACCTCTCTCCTCTGGTAATCTGCTCTGTGAACTCTAGCCTCCCAGCCTTTCTGGACTCCCCGATCCATTTCGTCAACTCAAGGAGACTACCAGAATTTGTCTGGATTCCCCCTTCCTGTTCTTTAGCCTAGAACCTTTCTCAAGGCAGTAAGCCGGGGCAATTTTACTGCTAACTTCATTGGTTTCCCATATCTCAGGGATCCCACTCTTTTGTTGACTGATGTCCCATATCTTGAAAACCATTGTTTCATATATTTTGTTCATCTTTTTGGAGCCCTGGTGGTGCAGTGGTTAAATCACTCAGCTGCTAACCAAAAAGTCGATGATTCAAACCCACCAGCTGCTCCATGGGAGAAAGATGTGGCAGTATGCTTCCATAAAGATTTACAGCCTTGGAAGCCCTAGGGGGCAGTTCTACTTCATCTTATAGGGTTGCTGTGAGTTAGAATCGATGTAATGGCAGTGGGTTTGGTTTTTGGTTTGGGTTCATCTTTTAAGTTTTTTTCAGGTAGGAGGGTGAATCTAGTCCCTGTTATTCCATCTGGGCTGAAAGTGGAAGTCCAACTATCCAGAGTTTTTTTTAATAAATTCTGTTTTTCTGGTTGTTCTCATCAAAAGGATTGTTCTGATACATAGCCAAAGTGTATGATCTCTTTTTCAGTCCAGGAGAAACCTTCCCTTCCCCCAGGGGAATGTCCTTCCTTTTACCTTCTTTGTAACCCTCTTCTTTTCTGCCTCCTTTACAAACTCTCTCAGTTGTTCTATTGACTTAGGCTTTTAGAAATAAAAGCTGGGAAGCTTTGCAGCTACTTTGGCTTTCTGCTTTGCTAGATACCTCCCCTAAAGCAAAAAATATATAGCCAGCCACCTACCTAAATGGTGTGTGTGTGAAGGTGAGGAAAAAGATAAATATACCATATATTGATATCTCCAAGTGTTTTCAAACTGAACATGTTTAGCTGATTTTACTTGCTACATCTTCAACTCAGGCAAATCAGGCTAGATTGTCCTTCTTCCTATAATTTCATTCATTCATTTATTGAGTACTTACTATGAACTAGGCTCATGGAGAAGAAGCACAGTTTAGAGCTTAAGAACTTTACTCATTAGACAAATTGGGTTCAAACCCCAGCTGTACCAGTTACTAGCTGTGTGATTTGGATGAGAAATTTAATCCCTCTCAGCCTCAGTTTCGTCATCTGTAAGGCTGGTTCATAATAGTATCCCCCCAGCCTGAAAGGCCCTGTTGGCATTAGGCTTCCCTCTGTGAAAAGCAGTTTTGATTTTTTAAAAATTTGGAGACTAAGAAATGGGCCTTAAAGATAGTTTCCATGCAACAAGCTTATCTTCTTCCTTTCACTTTGCTGTTGTTTTTCCAATGTATGCACACATTTTCTCTCTCAGAATTAGGACTCTCATCTCAAGATAACTTGGCTTACTCTTGTAGTCATCCACAGAGCCTGGATGGACCCCCACCCAAGATTTGTTTTGAGGCTGATGATGCCACATATACCCCACGAGGACATAAAAGGGTTTATTACTTACATAATGAGGCTTTCTGGGGAAAGTAGGACCAGGCTTCCCTGGTCCAAAAATGACCTGAGAGTGTGGGAAAAGGAGGCTGGCTTGGGGTTTTGATTGTGGTGAAGGCAGAGGCTTACATGGTTTGATCTTCCAACTGGCACCAAAGGAGGGAGAATACGGGCTTTCTCATCAGCTTGCTCAGATTTGGAGCAGAAGGCGAAGAGGGAGGGATGAAGCTTAAAAGCTGTCAGCAGTCAAACATCAAAAAATGGAGTCAGACTCTATTATACTCACAGTTTAAAGTATGTAATCAGCCTGCTATGCAGATAGATGCTGCCTATGGAGTCTTAGTAATCCTGGACAGTCTTCCACATGTGGAGCGAGCAGGAGGAGGGTCCTGGGAGGTGAATTTACACATCATTTGTACATTTAATACATCACAACCCAGACATGTAAAAATTTGAACTTGATTTTCTATAAATGATCCCCTCTTGCTTTTTAAACCCATATATGCTCAAAGCAGAAATGTAAACTTATACTTGTTAAAAAAAAAGCCTTGAAAAGTGAGAGCAAGCCCCACCGTAGGATTTCCCTAACCTCGCTATGTCTTTATGGCACTCTGCTGATGTCTGATCTGGGCCGAGGGGGGATGAGGACTCTTGCTGTGTGCCCCTGTCCCTCTCCTCTCCCAGGCTGCTCCCTTGAGTCCTAGAATGGTTTTCCATGTGCCCTTTCTGTCTGGCAAGAACATCTCCCTTATCATATCCTTCCTCTTTTCTGGTACAATGCACTTTAGTCATATGACGAAGTCTCATGTTAGTTTAAAAGCTAGAGGAGAGGGGAACCCAATAAATTAACAAGGTAGGGGAAAAAAATAAAGTAAGGAATACTTAAAAAAAAATTCTGGTTTCATATTTACCTCCTGTCAAAAGGCAAGTTTCTGTTTTATTGTATTTAAAATGAAACTTTAATATACAGCTGTGTTTTCTGCATGTCCGAATGCATTGTTTTATGCTGATTTTTATTTTATTTTTGTTCTTTATAGGTTTTACTGCTGCGTATCCAACACAATCCTCCATTCCTTTTAGGTTTCAGACTTTGGAAGTTCCAAGTTCAGAAAGAAAAGGATTTAATAGTCAAGCCAAGCGATTTTATTATAAACAGGTAATGATATTGTCTTAGAGATTCTTTTAGTCTGAATTTGAGCCTCATCATATTTGGCCTCATAGGACTGGCTCGTTAGTCTGGCTGGTGCATTTGTCTTTGTGAACAGTAGAGGGCAGTGTTACCTAAGGAGCCACGGCACCCTTTCCAATGTGCGCTGACTGTAAGAATGAGCTTGAAAATACTAAATCCATGTCTGGACTAAAACAGCCACAACTGGACTTACCATAGTGCCACACTGAACCAATAAAAATTTAATAAAAAATGCATTTTAAAAATTATGATAAAAACGAACAATTCAAAGATTGTAAAATTCACCAGCCTTACTCCCTAAAATAACAACTTTTTTCAAATAAACCAGAGTCTATTAAGTTTAGGATTGCCTTTGAGATGAGGCTCTTTTTTTAAACTTCCTTTAACAATTTGTTATTACTATTCCTGTATTCTGTCCATCTCCACCTGTCCCCTAAATCTCTGTGTCTCTTTTCTTCTCTGATCTGGAAAGTTCCACTAAGCTTCTGACAGCCCTTACTTAACCTTTGGGATTTCACAGGTCTAGGCCCCTGGAGTATGACCTTCTCCCCTCTCACCAGCAGGGGGCTGATGCAACTCGCAGAAGTCCTTAATGTCTTCTTTAAAATTTTCATTCCTTTACTCATTAAGCCAAGACCTTTAGAATAAACATTCTTTTGGAGGAGTCAGCATCTCAATAACCTTCTGCTGTATTCTAAAAATGTGGTTTTTTATCTTACCGCCTTGCCAAAATGGCGGAGATGGAATGAAGAAGTCTGGGTTCTGAATGCAGGTGAGTCATGAAGGCAAGCAGCCCCTTTGCCCCTCAGCCCGTTTCCTCCTTTGTAAATGAGAAATGAGAATGGTGAACCAGAGAATATCTAAGTTCCTTCCACTTCGGATATTTTAGGATTCTAAGAAAGTAAATAATAAGTATATATATGTGTGTATGTATACATTTTTTAATTTCTTGTAGGTTTTTCCTCAACGACTATAAATGAGATATTTGCTCAGGAGTTTTCTCTCTTCTCTCTCTAGTCTCTCTGGCTATGTCTTAACTGTCTTTTTGTCTGTCTCCCTCTCTCTCTCTCTCTCTCTCTCTGTCTCTTTTCTGACTGGTTTCCCATTTGTTGATTTAATGATAATATATTCCATCTCCAGGATACTTGCAGCCCAAACCAAAGAAAAAAAAAAAAACTCTCTGCCAAAGAGTTGATTCCCACTCATAGTGACCCTGTGGGACAGAGTAGAACTGCCCCACAGGGTTTCCAAGGCTGACCCCTACTGAGTGCTTTAACCACTGCGCCACCAGGGCTCATACTTGCAGCCCAGCTTCCAATAAAAATAATAGCTGCCACCATTTACTGGCCCCTATTATGTGCCAAGTCATTTTTGGACCATATCTCTAATTCTCAGAAAACTCTGAAAGGGAAGGGTTTATTATCTAAACAGAAGAGGAAACCAAGGCTTAGAGAAGGTAAGTGACCCGCCCAAGGTCACACAATGTCTGACACAGGGTTTGGCATGTAAGAGGCCCTCAATAAATATTTGCTGAATTAATGTTGAAAGAATTAGACCTCAAACCCAGGTCTAGCTTACTCCAAAGCCTCGTGCTCTTTCCCCATGCTGCACCACACCTCCCTCAGTGGCCTGCAAAGCCATAAATTTGGTTTATGAAAGACAGTGTGTTTCTGAAAGGACCCAAGCAAAACAGACCAAACTTAATACAGGCGAAGATGTCAACTAATGTGCGTAGGCGCCGTAGAAATACGATCTGATTCTGAAGACTCAGATCTAGAAACTAAAGGAGCTGTGTGTTAAAGTTAGTATTTAAAAAATGCTATTGCTTTTCAGAAATTTTTCTGCTTAAGGAGCCACAGTGGCAGCCAGCCAGAATTACAGGCAGCATCAAATACAGGAGAAATAGCTGAGAAATTGGATTCCAACTTTTCAAATGTGGTTGCATTGGTTTGACAGCGTGAGAACTTTCATCTACGTATTTGAAAGCATTTTGTAAATCAGTATGGAATTTTATAGAAAGGGCATGGGATCTACAAATCAGGTTTCCTAAGTTCTTCCCTGCCCTGGCTGTGTTACTTTAAACTAGTCATTTAACTTTTCTGGGCTCCGTTTTCCTCATCTGAAACATCAGCTTTAGATTATGTAATTTTGGAGGTCTCTTCAAGCTATAAAAACAGAGAAAAACATTCCTATTCCGTGCTCATTGTTCTCCTTTTTCCTGAGGGAAACGGGCACTGAGAAGTTAAGTATCTTGTTTAACATCACCCAATAATTTAGTGAGGCAATACAAATTAAAAACAAAACTCCAGTACCTCACCACCCTTCTTAAAACATTAATCATACACACCCTTGCGCCTGTTCTCATAGCGTGATTGTGTCCTCACATTCGTTCTGTGACCCACTTAGCACGTTTGTAACAGAAAGAGCCGGTGCTCTCTGAAATGCGTACTTACTGGAGCAACCCAACTTTGTAGTGAACTCTCGGGGCCTCATTGCCCAGCTCGTGTTCCCTGGAAGAGTCAGACTGCTGGGTCCAAGGAATCCTTCACAGAGCTCAGTGTCTGGACTGGCAATTTTGGTTCTAGAGATGAAATCTGCTCTCCTGCACATTTTACAGTTATTTACAGTTGTGCAGGTGACTTTGCGTACATGAAGTGACATGCCTAACCTGTAATGGAACGTAACCCAGTAGCCTTTTGGACATTTTCTTCCTACACCATCCCTCTTCTGTCCCTATGCCACCCTGGATTGTGGCCACTGTTTCCCAAGCTGTGTAATCCTAAAGACGCTACTAACGTCTTTGTACCTCCATTTCCCCATCTTAAAAATAAGGGTGTTACAATAGGCCCTTGCCAGGTATTAAAATTCTATGATTCTAAGCCTGATCCCTTCCAGGCTCCAATGAATGAATACTGGTGGGACCCGGGCACCATATCCTCTTGATGGGGCACAGTTTTAAACTCATGTTAATTTCATACGTAGTCCTGACAGTAAGTCCACCCCCCAAGTGGTAGTCAGGCCACTATTTACTTTGTGGTGAAACTGTACAAAGTTAATATTGTTCACTTATTTACTTGATAAGACACTGGAGTGGAGATATTCCAGATGTCAGGGATCTTTAAGTGAAAGCAAATTCAGTTTGCAGAACTTACCATCTTCAAGGGGGTAGTTACCCAAGTATGCACTCAGCGGCATATTTGAACCACAGTGGGGTCTGCCTGACCTGGCTGCTCTGTGAAGCCTGATTCTCTGTATCGGTCCCCAGACTCCCTTCCTAAGGGGTCTGCAGGACACATTCCTGGAAATAGCAAACACTTGTCTGGCACTGACAGTGTGCTAGGCACCCCTCGAAGACCTTTACCTTTATTAGCTCATTCCCATAATATCCCTGTGACCTCAGTCCCATTGTTATCCACACTTTTCAGATAATTATCCTAAGACAAAAAGAGGGTTAAGTAACTTGCCCACAGCAGAGCAAGGTAGAACCCAGGAAGCAGTTCCTGGTTCCCAGACACTGCTGCCCCCTGGCTGGTCCACACAGTGTGGCCAGTGTCCCCCCTGAGTGGAAGGGAGCATGTCCTCTTTTGAACTCCCACAGACTTGTCTTATGCCACTGACTACTTTCTGCCTGGCATTAACCATAACGTGTGAGTGCATTTGTCCCCCATAGTTGCCTTATTGTTTCTTTTTTTTTTAAAATTGTCGTGAAAATATATTAAATAAAACATTCACCAATTCAACAATGTATAATTCAACATGTATAATTCAGTGCCATAATTACATTCTTCATGTTGTGCAACCATCGTCACTGTCCTTTTCTGTGAGGGCACATCCTGTCCCCACCACCCACGGGGAACTGCTGGAGCCGAAGTTCTTGGAGCTCCCAGCCGCACGCCCTTTCCAAACCCTTAAAACCCTTCAAAAAGGGATTGAATGAATGACTTCAACTCAAGTCTGTGCATTTCTCATCGAATCACAGGAGCTCATCTCACCGATTTTGTGAGGTTTTGACATGTCTCCTTCGTCCCATTACTGGAACTTGTGAGCTGCTAACAGGATGTGCCTGTATCTTCAGTCCTTAGCACATGGTCTGGCATATAGTAGGCTTCAATAAGTGTTTGTCAAGTTGATACCAGATTTAAGAAAGAAGGAGGGCACTGGAAAATCAATACTGATTTTCTCCAATGCTTTAAAGATACAGGTTTCACTTCTCTTGTCTGACTATGTTTCCAACCCAGCGAGGCCAGCAGTGGGCAGAGACCGGGTCCCCATCCTCATCTGCTCAGGTGCCCAGTGTCACAGCTGCCTCTGCTTTCCCACACCTTCCTTTCACCTGGGAGACTAAGAAACACTCTTTGAGGAAATGATCTCCATAGACGTCTTTCTCATTTTCCTGGTTGCTCCCTTAGGGCTCCCAGGGACCTTCCATTTCTGGCATTCTCCTCCCCTACCCCATTCTGAACAAAAAGTTGTGTTTTCTTGCTCAAAGTATGGTTGCTGGCTTTCCTTTTTCAATAGTCATCAGAGGTGTGGAAAGGGTATGATACAAGTGTGTGGGGTGATGGCAAGGGGGTGGGAGGAGGCACCAAGGAAGGGGAGAAAGCAGAAAGGAGGAGGGGCATCTTAGAAGGAGTATGCTCCAGAGTCACAGCCAGTTGGAACCAGAAAGACCTGAGAGACCCCTGTGTCCCTAGCTCAACAGAGAGGCCCTTTCTGTGACAGCATCTCATGCTGAAGCCCCATCTGTCAAACGGCGAGGCAACTACTAGTTGAGGCTGCTGCCTCTTCTGTTCCCCTTTCCTCGGGTTGCTCTGTGGAGGCCAGGAGCTGGTTATGAAAATCACAGATCTTGTCCCTCCCCTGCCTCTTCACCAGCTCACAGATGAGGGGCCTGAGGCCTAGTGAGGGGAAGAACCCTGGAGGCAGATGCCTGCTCTCCTGCCTCTGGTCCATACTGTCCTCACCACCTTGGCCACAATCAGACTGAGTAAAGGCTTTCTAGGAAGTCAGTTTTTCCCTCAGGAACTCCTAATTCCTGCTCAGTTTTGCCGATGAATTAAGCAGAGGACTGGGCTCTGTTTCCACCTCAGGAGGGCCCTCCATCTGTTATATGCCGCTAGCTCTAGTGGACTTTTAGTTTCCATTCATCTTGAGCACTCCCTAGAAACACCAGCCAGTCACCCCCAAAACAGGCCAGAGTAAGGTGGGACAGCTTTGACAAGTCTAGTGTGGTCTTTAGGGGTCCCTGGGTGGCATGAATGGTTTGTGCTCAGCTACTAACCTAGAGATTGGCAGTTTGAACCCACCCAGAGGCATGAAAGAAGAAAGGCCTGGCGATCTGCTTCCATAAAGATTCAGTTAGGAAAACTTTATGGAGCAGTTCTACTCTGTAATATATGATTGCTATGGGCCAGAACTGACAGCAGTGGGTTTTGTTTTTGTTTTTTCAAGTGTGATCTTTAGCCAATGATCCAACAACAGTGACCATATTTTCCAAGCCAGACAATGGTTTGACAAACATGAAAGTATTAGTTACACAAAATTTATGAAACCAGGACAAGAAAATCCAGAATGTTTGAAGATGTGACTGGCTCCGGGCTGTGGAATATTATGTTCTCCCATAACCTATGGAGATATCTGGGGTGAGGAGATACATGTCCTGCTTCCTGTCTTTTCCCTCTCCTCACTTCCCTCACAGCCTATCCCAAGGTCAAATGAACGTGGATCTTTATTCCACCCTTGGCAGATGCAGAGGCTGCCTGTCCAGGACTTGCATCCATCAAGAGAGCCCTTAATGCATTTCAACCAAGTGTTGCCCAGGTGTGAGTTGGATGGGGAGACGGGTGTATCAGCCAATCATCCATTGCTCAATCCTACTTTGAAGGTCATTAATGCCTAAGAGAGGGTCCTGGCTCCAATGAGGCTACTGGGGACAATGCAAAGAGTCATAATGATGATAATAATGGTGGCGTGCATTGGCACCGTTCTAGCCCTTACAAGTGTATTGACTCACATAATGCTCACAACGTGAGGCAGTCAAGGAGACAGCAAGCATAGCGCCTGACAGTGGCTGGTGCTCAATAGAGCGCTAATAAATATGAGTTCTTTTCCCTTCTCCCCGTCTCCTGCCCCTGTTTTTGCTGGGTTTTTTGTTTGTTTTCTGCCTTCTGAGATGGTCTCAGCCAAGAAACCAAGGGGTGCGAAGTCCACACCAATTGCAACTTGGATATGCTCTGAGAAGCCAAAACTCATCGAAGTCACAAAAGGTTAGAGTTTTGAACTGTTATCCTGGAGGTGGATTTTATTGCCCTCCCAGGGAGCCGTCCACCCATCTCCAACAGAGGCAGCTAGACTTCTCCCTCATAGAAACCTTCACTTGGGTGTCATCTGGAAGCAGTGGTGTACTGGTACACCAGCTCTCCCTCTGACAAAGAAAGCCCTGATTTATAGCACTTGTCGATTTCCATGGTGTAAATATTCCCACTCTGGCTGATTCTCAAGCTACCAATGGTTTAACAACGGACTAGCAGAATTTATGAACATTAATAATCACACTTGCAAGCTGGCATTGGCCATCTTCAGTCTGCTACTGTCTGGGGGACCTCTCCTTGGACATTCATTAAGACTAAACAGGCAGCACTCCATCCCTCCAGGCTAAGAGGTGACCATTCGCAAAGTTCATTCCTATTTGCCCTGGACCCAAACCAGTTTGCAATGAGGCAAAAGTAAAACGTGATTAAAACCCCAGTAGGGTTGCCAGATTTAGCAAATAATAAAAACAAGAAGCTCAGTTACATTTGAATTTTAAATAAACAATAACTATTGTTTTAATATACGTATGTCCCAAATATTGCATGAGATGTGCTTATACTAAAATAGTTATTTGTTGTTCATCTGAAATTCAAGTTTAACTAAGATTCTTGCATTTTATCTGGCAATCCTAGCTCCCCAGACACATGTGGGTGCACAGGAAATTCTTGTGGACTGCTGGCAATGGTGAGAGTGTGGCAGTGGACTGGGAGCTAGAGATGTATGTCCTCACTGTCCGCTGTTTAAACTAGAAGAGTAATGGTTGCATTTACTGTTTTGACTTTCCATAGATTCAGAGACTCTGGAAACTAAAACGCACCCCAAGGCATTAGTCCAATATTTTCATTTTACAAACAAGAAGACTGAGGCCCAGAGAGGTGACTTGTTCAAGGTCATTCAGCTAGTAGCAGCACTGAGACTGAAATTCCAGATTCATAAGCCAGTGGAGTTTATTTTTTTCTTCTTTTATCCTATACAGTCTCATTCGAGAATTAGTTCGGTTTTGTGGTTAAGAGTAGACTCTGTAGCCAGACTACCTCAGTTCAAATCCTGACTTTGCCATTTACTAGTTCTTTGATGCTAGATGTTATCTTTTCATCTTTAAAAATGGAGATTAAGTAAATTAGTACTACATATAAAGTACTCAAAACTCCTAAGAGAGGGTCCTGGCTCCACTGAGGCTGTTGTGTGGACAATGCAAAGAGTCATAATGATGATAATAATGGCGGCATGCATTGGCACCATCCTAGCCCTTTCACGTATATTGGTTCACATGATGCTCACAACACGAGGCAGTCAAGGAGACAACAAGCATAGCACCCGACAGCGGCTGGTGCTCAACAGAGCGCTGATAAATATGAGTTCTTTTCCCTTCTCCCCCTACCCTGCCCAAAACAGTGCCTGGCACATCGTGAGCACTCAATAAATTTATACTTCCCCTGCGTCTAGAAAAATCTCTTCCTTGTTTCCCCATTGGCTTTTGAATCTGTAGCCATCTGCCAGGGTTTTTCTGAACTCTTGTCTTAGGGTGCTCCTGTACTTGGTCCTGCTGTGTCTCACGGTTTGCCTCAGTCTCCCTGTCAGTCAACTTCCCCCCTGTTCACTTGGCATCATCATCAATTATAATGCAGGGATTAGCTTTAATCAGGCTCAAAGGATTTACTACATTTAAAACTCAGCACAGAATAACCTGTTAATAAGACTTATGACCCTACCCCTTATATTTAACTGTAATCACACTGCCACAGCCAGACTGGAAAGCTCTTGAAGGCAGCACTGATAGTGTCTTAAGCTTACTGTCTGTCCTAAGGAAGGCAGTAGGGATGGTGGAGAGAGGATGACCCTGGGTGGCAGCCACTGGAGACAGCAAGCTGTGGAGTCAGACTGCCTGGGTTTAAATCTGGGCTTCACCACTTACTACTATGAACTCAATGCCTCTGGACCTCACTTTCCTTAGAGTGGACCTAATAATAGTCCCTCTGCAAAGGGCCTGTGTGAGGAGTAAAGGAGATAGCACACACCACGCACTTAGCACTGAATTCATGTACTGCCACTTTCCAGCTGTGAGACCTTGAGAAAATTCATCTCCATGTGCCTCATTGTCTCCATCTACAAAATGGTACAGTAATCCCTTCCTCATGGGGTGAGGGTGAGGATTAAATGCGAACCTTTGAAAAGCTTCCAGTAAACTCTGTGACAGTGAAGCATCCTTATCATTTCATGCCACTTGGTTGACCAACTTCTGTCAAGATTTACTTCCCCCTGGTAGCTGGCATGGGAAGTGAGATGGAATCCTAATTAACTGCAGCAGCAGAAATGAGCTTAGAATTCACATTCCTGCATCATTTAGCACTTAAGCCCCATGAGCCTGCCTTATTTTGTCTGAGAATTAGAAGTGGTCTTGTTTGGGATGAAGGTTGTTTTTGTTTCATTTTGCTTTATAAACAGAAACACTCTCTAATTTCTATTCTGAAAGGCTGAGGAGGAAGCTGAGTCAGGCAGGGTGTGGTTGACATGAAATCGGTCACCCTTTCCTTAGCGTGGATTTGGCTTTCCCAATCAATATACTTTGACTTGCATATCAGCCACGTTTACTATCCCGTTTTATGCTCATTTCTCTAATGGCATGAAAAACAACAGCCTTCTTGTGGAATGCAGTACTGCATAGTATAAAGAACATGGGCTTCAGCAGTCTCAGACCTGGGTTGGCATTCTAGCCTAGCGCTTGGTAACTGAGACTGTGATTGGGTAAGTTAGGAGGTGGTGGAGCCGGGCTGACATCCGTGAAGTGGAGATGGTGCCCATCCTGTAGGATTACAGTGAGACTTAGTGAATGTATTGTGGAAAAGCATAATGGAGTTGAATGTATCCCAATGATGCCACATTCTTTCCCCTTTCAGGATGATATCCCAGGTCCTGGGTTCTACAACGTCATTCACCAATCTCCAGTGTCCAACAGTGTCTCGCTGTCTAAGAAAGGAACATGCACTTTTCCTTCTATGGTGAGGACCCCTTCTCTCTCCCCTGCCCCAAAGCCTATGCTTTTAGTGTTTTTTTTTTTTTAATTGTTGTGCTTTAACTGAACGCTGACAATTCAAGTTAGTCTCTCATACAAAAATTTATACATACATTGTTATGTGACCCTAGTTGCTCTCCCTATACTGTGATAGCACACTCCTCCTTTCCACCTCGGATTTCCCCGCGAGGACCCCTTTTCTTGAGGCAGGCTGTTAACTGGTCAGTAATTGTCTTCATTCATTGAGTAATCACACAGTGGCCATCTGGTCCTTTCTCTCCAAAGGCCCGTAGTTCTAATTAGGAGAGTAACTACCTCCTCAAATTTCTTGCAGATAAATTGGAACCTGTGTCTTTAAGTAATTTTTTCTCACCACCCCATATTACCAGAGTGGGAAATGAAGCTAGAAGAATATTTAGAACTTGATCATGCAAAACCAAGTTTGTTATCATTGAGTGGACTAAGTAAATGTTTTCCTGAGATTTTTAGGCCTACCAGGAAATGAATGCTACTCTTATACATCTTGCCCTAATGTGATTCTTACACTGCTTAATCTAACTGGGTTATTCAAATTATTAAGACATATGACTGGAACAAAAGAAAAGCAGGCAGTGGGCCTGAAAATTAGTGATTTCCTCCTTTATTCCTCTTCTTTGTATAATGTAGGAATGTATTTTTGTTGAGTGCTCTAACAATAAAACAGTCATTTGAAGTATCAGTGACCATGACCAGACTTGGGGCAAGGATATTCTTTATGTAACTATTTATAAATTGGCAAGAAAAAGAGATATAGCAAGGGAAAAGAATCCAATTAGGGTAAGGGTAGCCATGGATAGAAAAGTGAAAAAGAAGGCACACCCCAGACTCTAGCATTAATAAAACATATGCTTAAAACTACACAAAGGGACCATTTAAAACACACTGAATGCAGCCACTTCTTGTTGGAATTTGAGTTTGGCAGAGCTGAATACTCAAGGAACAAACCAGTCTTGGAGTTAACTCCCTATCACCAAAGAAGCTGAGATTGCACATGCTCACATAAATTCACAAAACAACCACACCTCTACCTATTTTTCTGCCCCAAGCACTGCTAGTAAAGAGACTCAAAAGCAATTGGCAAAAGAAGTGCCGTCTCGCCATGTCTTGGCACAGCAGACAAGAACTAAGACCTAATCCTGACTCAGCTGTGGATTCTCGGTGTGACCTCAAGCACGTCACCCTTCTGTCCTAGTTGCCTCATAAAACATGGAGACTCCCTTTAGGCACTGGGCGAATTAACGTTGCAGTGGGTGAAATACTCTTTGAAACTGCAAAGCATTATGTACATTCTAAATATTATGATTGTTACCACCTGAGTCACATATAATACTTCCTGCAACACCTACGTTTTCTCTCTGAGAACTTCTTTGCCAAATACTGGCACTGCCCATTCCTGTTTGGTGCCAAAGAAGGGACTGAATCATAGCACATGATCAAGTCACTACTAAACTTTTTGTATGGTAACTTTCCAAATGCCCTTCTCTGGGACGAGGCCGGGCTGTCTGGAAGAGAAGGGCTCCAAGGGAAGATCTGAATGTTACAGAATCTAATCAGGCCTTCCAAGTCTTTAAACATTCAGACCAAACCAAAGAGAAGGTAGACATTGAGTTCTTCAGGCTTCCTCTTTTCCTCCTTTTATTAATATGAGGATTTATATTTACATTTATATTTATAGGAACACTTAGGTTCCTATATCCTTGGGCAAGGGTGGTTCCATAAGCAGTTGATGGAAATCTGTCAGGAGATCCCCACATCTCACCTAGTTCCTTTATGAATTGGATGTGAATTCCATATCGTCACTCCTCTTTTAGTGACTTTCACATTTAGCACCTCCCCCACTTTAGGTGCCATGCCTCTGAGGGAGTCACAAGTAGCCCTCATCAGAGGAAGACTGAAGACCTCTGCCTTACTGACATTGCTGTGACCAGGAGGAGTGTGATTGTGGGTGAGGCTGTCAGAAACCTGTATGAGACTATAAACATTAGAAACTTCCTGATGATTGCTGGAACAACTACACCCAACCTTTTGAGAGGACCTGTCATCTCTCTAAGTCCAAATGATATGAAGAGCTTCATTAATGTCTTCCAAATCTTTGCTCCAGAATCATTCACAAGGACTGACTGGGAAGTTAAATGGGGCAGCAGGGTGGAGAGTTTGATGGCCTTTCTATATTTGCATGGTGACAAAAGTGGTTCTAGAACAGTTAGTACATGCTGGAGACAGGTTCATAAATGCCACCATGTGGACAGATTAGAGACCACAGGCTTGGCAACTAAAAGAAAGCCAAGGGGGTCAGGGGGAGGGAAATCATGGATGAGTAAGTGTTACTTCAGCTATACTCTGAGACTGATTCTATTGCGATTACAATGTTTTATGAAACTTTGCCTCTAGTGGGATTTTTTTAGAGCAATGCTGCCCAAAATCTGTTGTGTTAACAGGTGTTCTAGGCCAAAAAGATTCTATGATCTAATAAGTTTAGGAAAGGTTAGTTAAACAAAATCAAACAGATTTCTTTATTGTAGAACTTAGATCTAATTTAATATGCCAATGTGTATTATGAATCTTCAAAATGAGAACATGATACGAGGGCTTCCCAAATTTATTTGACCCTGGGACTCTTTCTTTGCTGCCGCCACCACCACTACAACCCCAGCACATTATACAACTGGTATGCCAAGGAACACACTTTGGGAAACAGTGCTTTAGAAAAACACTCTATTGCCCACTCTATTGCATGACTCAGGATGGACATGCAATAAACAACTCTACAAGGAAGGTTTGACCTTACCACCTTTCTTCTATGGAAGTTAAAAGGAAACAGCATGGGTGTGGCCTATACTATTATGCAAAGAAGGTATAGGGTAGTGGTTCTTACTGAACTAAAACCTCCCACAGTCATTTATCAGTACTTATTTTGTAAATGAAAACACATGGCTATTACTGGGTGGTCATGTTTCTTGACATATTCCTTTTCAGAACTGGGTATCTGATTTCCTCATTTCACACAGTGGACTGCCTGGGTTAGAATTTTGGCTCCACCACTTACCAAGCTGAGGAAGTTTAGTTTCCTCATCTATAAAGTGGGATAATAATGATATCCACCGCTCAGGGTTGTCATAAGGATTAAGTGCAACATCCCATGAAAAGCACTTAGTTAACTGTTGGCGAAAATGCAAAGTCAAAGTGTGTATGAGGCTGGGGTGACCTTGCTCCTGGGAATATCAGTGACTCCTTACAATTAGAAGCAGGCAGAGGTGGGGCTTGAACCCAAGTTAGGCTCTGAACAACTGAAGCTCTGCTCAAGAGCACTCTTGCTTCTGGTGGTGCACCCACCCACATACCAGAGGTGGCCCATAAACCATGTCTTGAGAACCATTGCCACCAAGGGCAGAGTGAAGTGGGGGAGCCCTTATGGGCCTTTCAAGCAGAGGAAACTCACGGCAGTATTCTCAGGCTTTTGACCATAAAATAATGGATTTTTTTTTTTTTTTTTTTATCCTAATCTAATACTTGCCATACTATCCTAGGGTAAAGTGATGTTATCACCTAGTTTCTATAGCTTTTGTCCCTTTTCGTTTGGCAAACATTGATTCTGTTTGTTTTTTAACTGAAAATAGTTTATCATGGCTTCCTGGAAGGAGTGGGATTGGTTCTGTTGAACAGCAAAAATATTCTAGGGTTTTATGAAAACAGTAAATTAGGTGGGAGGTAGGAGGCATGGGTGGACAGTAAACCCCATGGACCCTAGTACCTTTAAGATGTTTGTAGCAGACTGGCTGTCTAGGGCATTCAGATCATTTAACCTTAGAAACAAGATGTGAGGCTTTACCCAGAAGAAAAACCTAGATTGGGAGAGATTTGTCTAAAGCTTCTCATCACGTAACTTACCAAACAGCTGGTGAGTCAAGTGTAGGTGGTCTGGAAGACGACAGGGTAGAAAAGCATTTATGGCAAAAGTATTTTTGCCAAGTCCCAAACATAAAATGAATAATTTGAGTTAGTTTACAGAAGTTAGAGCAGGTCTGCACTTGCATTTTCCAAGAGCAAATCCTCAAAGCCTGAATTCAGTTTATCAGTATTACCTGCTAGAATTTCACATTTTATAAAATTTTTTTAGACCCGGTGCTGAGCACCATCTTTTTGACATCTGTCCTTCAGAGCCATGAGATTATGTGACAGTGCTGATTCCTTTGTCTTTTTACTCACAGCGTGCCAGATTGGACACCATCATTTCTAAATATCCTGCAGCGAATGCATACTCTATCCCATCATATATTCTTTCAAAGAAAGACTTCAGTAATTCCTGTTCCAGCATGTTCCAGTTGCCAAGCTTTGCCAAAGTTCTCAAGTTTGAAACTCCTGCACCAAACCATTACAATGTAAGAACATTGCATGTGCTCACTAAATACGTATTGAGGGAATGGTTTACTAAAAGAAAAGAAAGGAAGGAGAGGGTTGGGAAATAACATTTTAATGCAATTGGTAAACCAGTTAGCATTTGTTGACTACCCAATAGGTGCATGAAGCTGTACAAGACTCTTGTAGGGAGTTTGCAGAACCCAGAGAGAAGTATGGGAACATGAAGGCCACTATGGAGTAGTGGGAAGACCACTGCCCTGGGAAATACTAATCCTAATAACTTCTGTCATATAACCTTTCTGGGACACAGTTTTCTCATCTGTAATAAGGGTATATTACCATCTGTAGACGCTGTTCATTTACTTTTTAGGTTCTTACGGAGAAAATAAACTTCATCATTCCATGTCAGAACATTTTTTTTTCTTTTTTAACAATAGTGCTCTGCAGATTAATGGTTGCTTTGTTTTCACTGAGGCAAAATAGTATTAAGGCAAATATTAAATGAGATGGTCTAGGCTGAGTGCTTAGCACTGCTCTTGGCACACAAGAACTACCTAATAAATGGAGATTGATAGGGCTGTCTTTGAGAAAGTCATATTACCTTTTTTTAAAATTATTGTATTTTAGATGAAGGTTTACAGAACAAACTAGCTTCTCATTAAACAGTACACATATTGTTTTGTGACATTGGTTACCAACCCCATGACATGTCAACACTCTCCCTTCTCCACTTTGGGTTCCCTATAACCAGCTTTGCTGTCCCCTCCTGCCTTCTCGTCCTTGCCCCTGGGCTGGTGTGCCCTTTAGTCTCTCTTTGTTTTATTGGCCTGTCTAATCTTTGGCTGAAGGGTGAACCTCAAGAATGACTTCATTACTGAGCTAAAACGGTGTCTGGGGGCATACTCTGGAGGTATCTCCAGTCTGTGTCGGGCCAGTAAGTCTGGTCTTTTTTTGTTAGAATTTTGTTCTACATTTTTCTCTAGCTCTGTCCAGGACCCTCTATTGTGATTCCTGTCAAAACAGTCAGTGGTGGTAGCTGGACACCATCTAGTTGTGCTGGACTCAGTCTGGTGGAGGCTGTGGTAGTTGTGGTCCGTTAGTCCTTTGGACTAATCTTTCCCTTGTGTCTTTGGTTTTCTTCATTCTCCCTTGCTCCCAACGAGATAAGACCAGTGGAGTATCTTCGATGGCTGCTCACAAGCTTTTAAGACTTCAGATGCTTTTAAGACCCCAGACTCACCAAAGTAGAAGAATGTAGAAGATTTTCTTTACAAACTCTGTTATGCCAATGGAGCTAGATCACGGTCCCTACAGCCCTCAGCCCAGTAATTTGGTCCCTCAGGGAGTTTGGATGTGTCTATGGAGCTTACATGACCTTGCCTTGTACAAGTTGTGCTGGCTTCCCCAGTGTTTTGTACTGTCTTACCCTTCACCAAAGTTACCTCTTATCTATTGTCTATTTAGTGTTTTTCCATCTCTACCCCTCCTCTCCCTTGTAACCATCAAAGATTGTTTCTTTTTGTGTGTAAACCTTTTCATTAGTTTTTATAGTAGTAGTCTCAAACAATATTTGTCCTTTTGTGATTGACTTATTTCACTCGTTATAATGCCCTCCAGATTCATCCAAGCTGTGAGTTGCTTCACAGATTCATCTTTGTTCTTTATCATTGCATAATACTGCATTGTGTGTATGTGCCATAGTTTGTTTGTCCATTCATCTGTTGATGGGTATCTAGGTTGTTTCCATCTTTTTGCTATTGTGAACAATGCTGCAGTGAACATGGGTGTGCATATGTCTATTCATGTGATGGCTCTTATTTCTCTAGGATATATTCCTCCAAGTAGGATTGCTGGATCATATGGTATTTCTATTTCTAGCTTTCTAAGGAAGCACCATATCGTTTTCCAAAATGGTTATATCATTTTGCATTCCCACTAGCAGTGCATAAGAGTTCCAATCTCCCCGCAGCTCTCCAACATTTGTTCTTTTCTGTTTTTTTGATTTGTGCCAGTGATGTCGGTGTAAGTCATGTTACCTCCTGAGCCTCAATTATAAAATAGAATTAATAATACTTGCCCTGCAGGGTCATTATAAGAAGCAAATGAGACAATGAATATGAAAAACACCTGAAATGCGTAAGATGTGAATTGTACATAAGGTATTAATACTATTATGTCATATTTCAGAATATTTTGGCCTTAGAATACTTCATTTTCAATTGTCTTTTTTCTTTTATAATATCTAGAAATAATATTTATTTTTATAACTGCAAAGATTCTGCCCACTTTCTCTGGTTGAATTAATCAGTTATGCTTAAAGCAATATTGGTGCCTACTCTACCAATGCTGTCCACATATGTAATTTAAAATGTCCTAGTAGCCACTTTTAAAAAGTAAAAAGGAGCAGGTGAAAATTACTTTTAACAATATATTTTTTAACCCAATATATCAAAAATATTATCGTTTCCCTATCTAATCAATATAAAATTATTCATTTGACCTTTTACATTCTTTTCTTAATACTAAGTCTTCAAACTCCAGTATGTGTCTTACACCTGCAGTGCATTTTAATTTGGACCAGCCAGTGCTTGACAGCCACATGTGGTACTGTGTAGAACAGCACAGCTCTAAGTAGCCTTTCCTTGGTGTAATCAGAAGCCTGAAAATAATAATGATGATGTTGATAAAGCACTTCTCATGGGCAGTGTGCTGGTCTAAGTTATTTATTCATCTTCTTATGCAATACTCACATATGATGAGGTGGATTATCTTACTCACAGTTACAGAAGGCTCAGAGAGGTGAAGGGATTTGCTCAAAGTTACCCAGCTTGAAAGCATCATTTGCACAGGTGCCATCAATGAACACAGGTGGATGGCAGAGGCAGAAACCTGGGCAGCGTTGGGAGTCACCGTGTTCCAACTCTTCATGAGTTCTGTGGCTACTCTATGCCAGGCGGGTGACACAGCAGTGTCCTCCTAAGCATAGATTCCAGTGGAGAACTCAGACAAGAACCTGTAAACAGACAAAATAATTACAGCTGTGAGGGAGACAACCTGGAGCTTGAGAGAGAGAATATTGGGGGAGAGGGGTATTGCAGTACCACTTCCTCAAGACTGGGTGGTCAGAGAAGGCTCCGAGGTTGAGACTCAAAGACTGAAGGTGCCAGAGTTGGAGGGCAGAGGGAATAGCATGTGCAAAGGTCCCGGGACAGCAAAGCCCATGGGGAACTCCAAGAAAGCCAAATGACTAGAGTCATGTGAACTAGGAGGAGAGGGGAGAAAGTGAGGCTGGGCAAGGTAGGCAGGGGCCAGTTTATGCAGGGCCCTAAAGACCTGGGAGGATCCCTGGTGGTGCAGTAGTTAAGAACTCAGCTGCTAACCAAAAGGTCGGCAGTTCAAATCCACCAGCCACTCCTTGGAAACCCTATGGGGTACTTGTACTCTGTCCTATAGGGTCACTATGAGTTGGAATTGACTTGATGGTGATGGGTTTGGTTTTTTGGTTTAAAGACCTGGGAGAGAGCTTGAATTTTGTTCTCTGTACTAAGAAGCCCTTGAAGTAGGGTGGGAGGTGTGGAGTGATGTGATCTGATGTACTTTCTAAAAGCTCCCTCTAGCTATTGTATGGAATGGAGTGCAGTGTGGGTGCCATAGTTGGTGTTTCACCTGTCTGCCTCCCCAACCCCACTGCATGCTCCTCCACCCTGCTTCATCTCTCCAATGCCCGGCACAGGTCATGGTATGCAGTAAGCATGCAATAAATGTTTATGACATCAGAAGAATAACTCCCCAGGAGTAGGTAGTTTTTAATCTAGAAATGATTGTTACCTGAGTCAGAACTTTGTCCTTCTGCCAATAGATCATTTTTAGGTGCGTGCTTTTTGTTCATTATTGTTTTAATGTGACTCTGGAAGTAATACATGCTCATCATAAAATGCTAAAACATTACAGAAATGTATGAATTAGAAAGTGGAAGTCCCTCATAATGCTATTCCCCAAAGCAAATCACCATCAAAAACCAGAGGCAATTTCTTCCGTATTCTCTCCCTCCCTCCAGTATCAGGATCATGTTCTACATGACACATGTGCATTTCCCACTTAACTGTGTCTTGGATTTCCTCCTGTGGCAATATAATTAATCCACTTCATTTTTTTTTTTTTTAACCCACCAGTAGAGCTGAATATTTTTCTAGTCTAATAGGAAAAATCTTGCAGTGACACACACTCAGCGTGTACAAAAATGCTCCGCTTGGCAGCTGCTTTTCTGTCTGGGTGAGGAATAAAGCTGAAGTACTGTTTTGTCTACAGCAGGCTTTTTTCAAACCAGGAGAACAATGGTTGAGTCAACTGGCAAGGAGTAGAAATGGGATAATCCTGTTAGCCACACTGTGCACTGAGGTCTGCTGGGCCTTTCTTTTCCTTTGCTTACCATGATCCCCCACTTCTCTGTTTGAATCCTCTTCCTTGGTACCATGTTATTATCTCCTCTCAGCAGCGTGGCTCCTCTCCCTGTGTCCAGTAATTAGCCCTCTCCATCTGATCTTTTTGTTTGTCCTCTCTGCATGCAGTCTTGCCGTTAGGACCCTGGGAAAAGCTAAATTCCTCCACCTTTGTAAACACAAAATCAAAATGCCATCTGCATTTCTTGAGAAACATTTTTTTGACAAAGGAGTATCACAGAAAATCAAACCATCCTGACCCCAGCAAATAGTTGCAGTCATTCAGTAAATATTCCCAGCGACTGCAGGTACAATTTTTATTGCATTTTTTATCTCCTGAATACAGGGAAATACTTGCAAACTGGCATCTAAAATATTTGTGATTCATGTGTAATGTAAGAATGATCTCAGGGTTCTTATTTTTGCTATTATTTTTACATTTCTGAACACATCAGACATTCTCAAATGTATATTGCATGGGTTCGACAAAATTCTTTATTTCTGGTCAGTCCAGAAAAGTCAAGACAGGGAGTGCTAATCATAATCTTAAATTATACAATTCTCTTGTATGCCCCAAATCCTGGGTTTACAGAAGGACTGTTTGAACAGTGAGGAATGCACCCTAGGGACCAGGGTGGGGGTAGGTAGGACTAAGTATCCTGAAAAGAATAATTGTTAGTTGCCACCGAGTTGATTTCAACTCACGATGACCCCTATGTACAGAGTAGAACTGCTCCATAGGGTTTCCAAGGCTGTAACGTTTCAGAAGTAGTTCGCCAGGCCTGTTTTCCAAGGCACCCCTGGGTGTGTACAAACCATCAACCTTTTGGTGAATAGTCAAGCGCAAACCAATTGCTCCACTCAGGGATGCCCTGAAAAGAATAATAAGAATGGAAAAAAATGATAAAAATAATTTTCATATGTAGCATTATACATTTTTCCAACACACTTCCCTATAGATTATTTCTGTTGACTCTGCCCCATCCCCAGCGATCCTCTACGGCAAGTGGAGTAAGGATTATTTGATTTGTTTTACAGATGAGAAAACTCAAGGTCAGGGAGTTTAAACAATTTGTGCAGGATCACACAGTCTGTGTGTGGCAGAAGCAAGCCTAGAAGCTAGGTCTTCAGGCTGTCTATTCCCCTTTCTTTCTCTTCCACTGTACCACCATCCCTGTACCATGCTGGGCTAACAGACATTTGCTGGTGATTACAAACTCCTAGACCATTCAAGCTGGGGTAATGATGAAGGCACAGGCGGTGTGACCTTTTCAGTTCATGTCAGCTCATTTTCTGAGGACAGGTTAAAATTTGTGTTTTTTCTCCCCCAAATTTGCCACTTGTCAACGAATGATAGCAAAGACAAAGAAAGGAAAGGCACTGAGCACATTGTGGGTATTTTCTCCCCCCAGGCCTCTATCTCTTACTGCAAGCAGAAAAACAATGTCTGTGCCCGAGCCGGGTTTATGTCAAAAACCCAAAGAGGAATTTTCACTATTACTGAAACAGGACCTGCTCCAGGTAAGCAGCTGTCTTGGCCTGGCTTTGACCCAAGAGTTTGTGCACCGATTTGATGCGTAGGGTACCCATTCCTTCACAAAGAGTCTCTTTTGAAGGAGCTTGGCTTTTGGGGAGTAGGAGGTGGAGGCAGATATTGAACAAAGAGGAGCACAGTGAGGATAAGACCAGCTTTCCCCTTTCGGGGAAGATGGCTAACAGGGCTCTGGAAATGGTCCCGCAAAGCAGTCTTGTTGGCCTCCTCTTTCCTGACTGGGCATATCTGCTTTGGACAGCCAGGTCAGAAAGTGGCTTCTCACCTCAGAGGTGTGCAAACTCACATAACCCCAGGCGTCATCACAGGCCACTGGAGGGTGGAAAGGGAGAGAGGGCGGGGGAGATGACAATCCATCCAGATTGTGTGAGGCTCAGCTACAGTATTCCTTTTCTCCTACACCTAGAGGTGACTTCATCATCTAGTCATAAAACAATGGGTAATAGCTCCATTTACCGACCTAAGTATTTTCCATGCAGTCCTCACACACCAGTCCTCACAGGCTCGGACTCCTAGCCCTGCTTTTCGGATGAGGAAACCGAGGCTCAGAGAGTTGAAACGACTTGCCCGACATCTCACAGCTAGTAAACAGCAGACCTAAGCCCTGAGGTGTCTGGCTGAAGAGCCTGTTTTCCCCCATCATTCCACTGTGCCTTTTGAAACCCTCCAGGTCTCAGGAATACACAAGAGCTTGCCTGCAAGCATTTTCCCCCACTGGGCATGGGCAGAGGCATTGTTTTCAAACCTCCTACTGCTCCCTGCCAGCCTGAGTGAAAAGTTTCCAGAAAGGGCTGGTTCTGCAGCAGTCTACAATCCAGAGGCACTTGTTGTATTAAACAAACAGACAAACAAAAACACCCAAGCCAGTTACTGTCGAGTCGATTCCAACTCATGGCGAACCCACGTGATGCTTGTAGAGTAGAACTGCACTCCAGAGGATTTTCAAGGCTCTGACCTTTTAAGTTCAAACCATCAACCTTCTGGTTAGTAGTCAAGCACTTAACCATCTGCACCACCCAGGGGATCCCACTTGTTGTATTGTTGTTGTTGTTGTTAGGTGCCCTCAAGTCAGTTCCGGCTCATAGCAACCTATATACAACAGAACGAAACACTGCCTGGTCCTGCGCCATCCTCAGAATTGTTGTTATGCTTGAGTCCATTGTTACAGCCACTGTGTCAATCCATCTTGTTGAGGGTCTTCCTGTTTTTCACTGACCCTCTACGTTACCAAGCATGATGTCCTTCTCCAGGGTCTGGTCCCTCCTGATAACATGTCCAAAGTATGTGAGACAAAGTCTCGCCATCCTTGCTTCTACGGAGCATTCTGGCTGTACTTCTTCCAAAACAGATTTATTCCTTCTTCTGGCAGTTCATGGCATATTCAATATTCTTTGCCAACACCATAATTCAAAGGCGTCAATTCTTCTTCGGTCTTCCTTATTCGTTGTCCAGCTTTTGCATGCATATGAGGCAGTTGAAAACACCATGGCTTGGGTTAGGTGCACCTTAGTCATCAAGGTGACATCCTTGCTTTTTAACACTTTAAAGAGATCTTTTGCAAACTAGTTGCCCAATGCAATGCATCATTTGATTTCTTGACTGTTGCTTCCATGGGTGTTGATTATGGATCCAAGTAAAATGAAATCCACTTGTTGTATTAGACCTTCGCAAGTGGGTCCCAAAGACACCCCCACCCCCCACCCACAGGAGCCGTGGCCCCTGAGCCAAGATGAGAGGAGCAGGAGGGTTTGATCGCACAATCTCCTCTTGGAGGGGAGTGTGGATTAAATTGCATTGCTCATTAAATTTCCACAAATCCAGGTTAAAGCTAAGAAGATCAGTCTGAAGCTGAATAACAAAACCAGCCCTAATTAGGAGGCTCAGCCCCGCTTAAAGCTCCCCTGCCTTGCGTCATCCATGGGGCAGAACCCCACTTTGTTTATTCAGGAGACAAAGACGGCATCCCTGGGCTTGGCCAGAGTCCCCGCCAGTGAGCCCAGGAGTGTGGGCACCCTCACAGCCAGCCACACATGCCTGCTCCCTCCTGGGGGGTCCTGGCCCCCTTTCAACACAGAGCAGGAGGGGAAGGTGGGGCCTAGAATCTGTTAAGCCCCTACTGTGTGGTAGGAGCTTTACTTTCATTATCTCATCAAATGCTCTCAAAATCCTACGGACCATGTGCCTGGCACTCAGAAAGTGTGAGCTGTTATTATTTTATCCCCGTTTTGCAGATGAGGAGAGTGATACACAGAAAGCAAGTGACTAGTCCAGGGCCCTACAGCTGGGTTTGATTCCTGGCCCACTGGGCTGGAACTTGGTGCTCTTCAGAGGCCCCCTCCCACTACTTTCCAGGGAACTGCCAGGGGCCAGAGCCTGGGGAGTCTGCCCCTCTGACCTGCGGCCAATCCTTTCCACTCTCTGGAGAGGGTAATGCTGCGCTTGCTTCCCTCTACCTGCAATTCTGACCAAAACACTCACCTTTTACACCTTTGCGAGTTGAATTTTCTGAAGTTTAGATGTGCCAAGCCCAATTCTAGCCACCTTACAAATGTCCCTCTCTTTATTTTTCCTGCAAAAAAGTTTGTTAGCACTTGGGAAATGCCTAAGTTAAAGTGTCACTTAGAGATGCAAGGTAGACTGAACCCACACTGTGAGCTCAACACTGTGGAACCGAATCCAGCTACACTCAGGAAAGACGAAAGCAAATACACTGAAATCTTAACATTGGTTCTCTCTGGGTTGTGGCACTGTGAACGACTTTTTTTTTCTCTTGTTCTGCTTTTCAGTGTTTTCCAAATTTTATCATTCAAGCATTGCTTTAACCTTAAAAAAAAAAAAAATTGGCTTTTTCCATTTACAAAAGTAATACATGTTCCAGATCTTTTGAAAACAGATTTTTACCAAGTTATGTAAATCCAGCATTGAAAGCAAGGTGGCATGTTAACATTTTGGTGTGTTGTATTATCTTTCTGTTTCTTTCTTTCTCTCGTAGATATATATTTTTTTCCTACCATAAAGAGAGTATTATAAATGCTATTATAAAAAAAAAAATCCATTGCTGTTGAGTGGAGTCCAACTCACAGCAACCCTGTAGGACAGAGTAGAGCTGCCCCATAAGGTTTCCAAGAAGCGGCTGGTGGATTTGAACTGCCGACCTTTGAGTTAACAGCTGAGCTCTTAACCACTGCGCCACTCAGGGCTCCAAATGCTATTATGAAAGCTGTTAATTGGACATTTGCTTTTTTTAACTTAAGTACATGCTAGGAATATCTTTTCATGTTATTAAAAATTCTTCTAGGACGTAATTTTTAATGGGTCTATAGTATTCCATAGTATGGCAGGACCATAAGTTATTAATGAACAAATGCCCTCTTGTTGAAAATTTTGGTTGTTTTAAATTTATTACCAATATAAACAGAGAGGCAGTGAACATCCTTGTAGCTAACAATTTGTGGAGAATCAAAATTATTTCTGTATATAAATTGCTTAAAGTGAAATTGCCAAATCAAGAGGTATGTAAAATATTTAGGGTTTTTGACATTTGAACCAAACTTCCCTTCAGACCAGTGATAAACCCTAGTGGCACAGTGGTTAAGAGCTTCGGCTGCTAACCAAAAGGTCGGCAGTTTGAATCTATCAGGTGCTCCTTGGAAACCCTATGGGGCAATTCTACTCTGTCCGATAGGATCACTATGAGTCGGAATCAACTCCACGGCGACGGGTTTGGTTTTCATTTTGTTTTGTTTTGCTTGGATAAGGGGCCTGTTTCCCTCACCTTCACCATCACTACATGTTTTCATTTAAAGCAAATCTTTGCTAATATGTACCATGTCATTGGTTTTGGTACTTTTGCAGTGGAAAAATAAATGTTATTTAAAACAATTAAAATCAACTTGCAATGTTAAGAAAATGTGACCACCCACGCTACCACCACCGTAATACAACGGTTTCCATTTCTCTTGGTTCCCGCCCTTTCTGTCTTCAGATATATCCGTTTGTACACAGACGTCATCATCATGTATGTGGAATTTTGTGTCTTATTTTACTTTTCTCATTTTTATTTAAAAAAAAATATTTTTGTGTGGTAATTGTATTACCATTTTATGATCTTTGATTTTGTCAGGACTGACGTTCCATGAGACTGGGCTGTATTTCCCATAACTCTGCCCTGGTTCTTGGACATTTGGGCAATTTATACTTTGGTACTAGGAGCGCTGGTGGCGCAATGGTTAAACACTCGGTTACTAATGAAAAGGTTAGTTAGTTCGAACTTACCCAGCAGCTCTGTGGGAGAAAAACCTGGAGATCTGCTCCCATAAAGATTACAGCCTTGAAAACCCTATGGAGCAGTTCTACTCTGTCACATGAGGTTGCTGTGAATTGAAAGTCAATTGACAGCACCTAACAACAACAATATACTTTGTTACTATTGTAGCTATTGCTTTATGTACACCTTTGTGCTTAGAGCTTTTCTGTTCTGTTGAATAATTAATTTCTGAGTAGTGGAAAGCCTGGTCAAAGTGTGCAGACCTCTTAGTGACTTTTGTTTATCGCTGCCAATTTGCCCTCCAAAACCCCTGCGCCCGTTTACAAGGCTCCCACAATTTAGGGGTGAGATTGCTTCCTCTTTACCCCAGCTCAGGCCATTCTCTTCTTCCTTGACTCTGTGCACACAGTCAAATGAATTTTATTCTGTCACAGTTTCTGGCGACAAGGCCTTGTGGCATGGTGGAAAAACCATGGGCTTTGGAGATAGGCAGTCCTGTCTCCACGTAGTAGGTGCTCAATAAATACATGTTGATTGTACAATATAAAGTGAACAACTACTATATGCTGGGAACTTAAAATCGTATTCAGTTGTCATAATAGCCCTGTTGTTGTAAGAATTAATGTCCTTATTTTATAGAAGAGAATGCTGGGCTTCAGTGAAGCTGAGAGATTTGTCCAAGTACCTGGTTAGCTGGGTGTCCTTTGGCAAGTTATCTCCGAGTCTCAGTCTCCTGGTGTGTAGAATGGAGGCACTAATACCCATCTTGCTGGGCTGCTGTGCACTTAAATGAGCTAGTACGTGATGCATGTGGCACGTGTTCTCTAAATGGTATTGTTTTTAGTTCATTCAAGCAGCCCTTCCATCTGACCATCCTGGAGTGATCCTGCCTTATAGTTGTTAAGTGTATTCTTAGGTATAAGGTACTGCATTTTATTTATTTGAGAAGAGTTCTTTATTCTGTTCTAAAATTTCTCTCTGCTTTAGGGCATTATAATATCAACGAATCCCTTGTGAAGCAGTCACCAAAGATGTTAATGTCTTGTTTTAAATCAAAAACTGACCGTGGATTAAAACTGCTGTCAACAGGCCCAGGACCCGGTTCTTACAACCCTAACGACCATACCAAAGTTCCGAAGAAGACTCTTATTCCGTGAGTGCTGCTCATTCTGATCATTCTTCTGAAAGGTGATGCTGAGGAAGGGCCCCAACACAAGCAGAAAAGGGAGGGGTGTCACTGCTTGGCAGACACAGCACCAGGTCACTCTCCAGAGGCCCTTGTGGACACATAGTCAACACATGCTCGAGAAATACTTGTTGAATGCTAATATTTATTGAGCAACCACTATGTGCCAGAAACTTGAAATCTTTTTTAATTATCACAACAACTCCATTGTTGTAAGAATTATTATTCTCATTTTATAGAAGAGAAAGCTGAGCTTCAATGAGGCTGAGAGATTTACCTAAGTCCACAGCAGCTAACTTGAGGTGCCACTGAGAATCAGGCTCAAGACTGTCTAGATCTTTCTACATTCCCCATGATACTGTACTGTCCTGGTGCTGAAATTATTCTGTCTTTATAACATAAAATTGCCACTAGGGTGGTAGAACATATAGAAACAGTGAAGCTTTCATAACTTTTGCACTGATAGAGGTTAAAAAACCCAGATTTTGGAGTTGGTCAGACCTGCTGGATTTGAACTCCTGCTCTTCTGCTTCCATGCTGTGTGACCTTGGGCAGTATACCAACCTCTCTGAGCCTCCACACCCTCATCTGTATAGCAGAGCTAATTCATGCCTGGTATGGTTGCTTTTAGGATTAAAAATATATGTCTGGCATGTAATAGGTGAAAATGGGGACTTGATATTAGCACAAATTTTAAAAAGTGGAGTTATGGATTTGTGTTACCATTTTTAGTATCTTGCATGTTTAATGTTATTTTCACCTGAGAGGTTCAAAAACTCACTGTGCTTATTTATTCCTCAAATGGTTAAGCAGAGTGCCCTCTAGAATTTCTAGAATTAACTGGGGTTAAGGTCAGCCAAATTTACAGACTGTCTTAGTTATCTAGTGTTGCTATAACAGAAATACCACAAGTGAATGGCTTTAACAAAGATAAACTTACTCTCTCACAGTCTAGTAGGCTACAAGTCCAAATTCAGGGCGTCAGCTCCAGGGGAAGGCTTTCTCTGTCAGCTCTGGAGGAAGGTCCATGTCATCAATCTTCCCTTGGCCTAGGAGCTTCTCCAAGCAGGAACCTCAGGTCCAAAGGACACACTCTGCTCCCAGCACTGCTTTCTTGGTGGTATGTGGTCCCCCTGTCTTTCTGCTTGCTTCTCTCTTTTATATTTTAAAAGAGATTGGCTTAAGACACTATCTAATCTTGTAGATCTTATCAATATAACTGCCGATAATCCATCTCATTAACATCATAGTGATAGGATTTACAACACATAGGAAAATCACATCAGATGATAAAATGGTAGCTAGTCATACAGTACTGGGAATCATGACCTAGCCAAGTTGATAGAAATTTTTGAGGGTACACAATTCAATCCATGACAGAGACTATTCTCAAGAATAAATTTGATGCATTGAACACTAATGACCAAAGACCAGACAAGTTGTGGAATGGCATCAAGGGCATTATACATGAAGAAAGCAAAAGGTCATTAAACAGACAGGAAAGAAAGAAAAGACCAAAATGGATGTCAGAAGTGACTCTGAAACTTGCTCTTGAATGTAGGGTAGCTAAAGCGAATGGAAGAACTGATGAAGTAAAAGAACTGAACAGAAGATTTCAAAGGGCAGCTTGAGGAGACAAAGTATTATAATGAAATGTGCAACACCTGGAGTTAGAAGACCCAAAAGGAAGAGCACACTCGGCATTTCTCAGGCTGAAAGAACAGAAGGAAAAATTCAAGCCTAGAGTTGCAAAATTGAAGGATTCTGTGGGCAAAATATTGAATGATGCAGGAAGCATAAAAAGAAGATGGAAGGAATACACACAGTCACTGTACTAAAAAGAATTGATTGACATTCAGCCATTTCAGGAGGTAGCATATGATCAAGAACTAATGGTATTGAAGGAAGAAGCCCAAGCTGCACCAAAGGTGGTTGTTGTTTTGTTGTTGTTAGGTGCCGTCAAGTCGGTTCTGATTCATAGTGACCCTGTGTACAGCAAAACTAAACACTGCCTGGTCCTGTGCCATCCTCGCAATCACTGCTGTGTTTAAGCCCATTGTTGCAGCCACTGTGTCAATCCATCTCATTGAGGGTCTTCCTCTTTTTCAGTGACCCTCTACCAAGCATGATGTCCTTCTCCAGTGACTGATCCCTCCTAATAACATGTCCAAAGTATGAGATACACCCTCTCAATCCTTGCTTCTAAGGAGCATCCTGGTCATACTTCTTCTAAGACAGTTTTGTTCATTCTTTTGGCAGTCCATAGTGTATTCAGTATTTTTCTCCAACACCCAATTCAAAGGCATCAATTCTTCTGTCTTCCTTATTCATTGTCCAGCTTTCACATGCATATGAGGCGATTGAAAACACCATGGCTTGGGTCAGGTGCACCTTAGTCTTCAAAGTGACATCGTTGCTTTTCAACACTTTAAAGAAGTCTTTGGCAGCAGATTTGCCCAATGCAATGCGTCTTTTGATTTATTGTATGCTGCTTCCATGGGTGTTGATTGTGGATCCAAGTAAAATGAAGTCCTTGACAACTTCAGTCTTTTCTCCATTTATCATGATGTTGCTTATTGGTCCAGTTGTGAGGATTTTTGTTTTCTTTATGTTGAGGTGTAATCCATATTGAAGGCTATGGTCTTTGATCTTCATCAGTAAGTGCTTCAGGCATTGGCAAAAAACAAGGCTCCCAGAACTGACAGAATACCGAGATGTTTCAACAAACAGATGCAATGCTGGAAGCGCTCATTCACCTATGCCAAGAAATTTGGAAGACAGCTACCTTGCCAACTGACTGGAAGAGATCCATATTTATGCCTATTCCCAAGAAAGGTGATCCAGCTGAATGCGGAAATTATCAAACAGTATCATTAATGTCACATGCAAGTAAAATTTTGCTGAAGATCATTCAAAAGCGGCTGCAGCAATACATCAACAGAGAACTGCCAGAAATTCAAGCCAGATTCAGAAGAGGATGTGGAACGAGGAATATCATCGCTGATGTCAGATGGATCCTGGCTGAAAGCAGAGAATACCAGAAAGATGTTTACTTGTGTTTTATTGACTATGCAAAGGCATTCGACTGTGTGGATCATAACAAATTATGGATAACATTGTGAAGAAAGGGAATTCTAGAACATTTCATTGTGCTCATGAGGAAACTACATAGATTGAGAGGCAGTTGTTCTAAGAGAACAAGGGGGTACTGCTTGGTTTAAAGTCAGGAAAGTTGTGCGTCAGGCTCGTAACCTTTCACCATACTTATTCAGTCTGTAAGACTCCAAGAAGCTGTGCTATATGAAGAAGAACGTGGCCTCAAAATTGGAGGAAGACTCATTAACAACCTGCCGTGTGCAGATGATACAACTTTGCTTGCTGAAAGGGAAGAGGAATTGAAGCACTTACTGATGAAGATCAAAGACTACAGTCTTCAGTACGATTATACCTCAACATAAAACAAAAATCCTCACAACTGGACCAATAAGCAACATCATGATAAAAGGAGAAAAGATTGAAGTTGTCAAGGATTTCATTTTACTTGGATCCACAATCAATTCCCATGGAAGCAGCAGTCAAGAAATCAAACGATATGTTGTATTGGGCAAATCTGCTGCAAAAGACCTTTTTAAAGTGTTAAAAAGCAAAGATGTCACCTTGAGGACTAAGATGCACCTGACCCAAGCCATGGTATTTTCAGTCACCTCTTATGCACGTGAAAACTGGACAATGAATAAGGAAGACCAAAGAAGAGTTGTTGCCTTTGAATTATGGTGCTGGCAAAGAATATCGAACATGCCATGGACTGCCAGAAAAACGAACAAATCTGTCTTGGAAGAAGTACAACCAGAATGTTTCTTAGAAGGGAGGGTGGCGAGACTTCACCTTACATATTTTGGGCATGTTATTAGGAGGGACCAGTCCCTGTAGAAGGCCACCATGTTTGGTAGAGGGTCAGCGAAAATGAAGAAGACCTCAATGAGTTGGATTGGCACAGTGGCTACAGCAATGCACTCAACCATAGCAATGATTGTGAGGATGGTACAGGACTAGGCAGTGTTTTGTTCTGTTGTACATTTGGGTTGCTATGAGTTGGAACAAACTCGACAGCACCTAACAATAACAACAAGCTCAGCCCTGTCCCCATCTGAGCCCTTACTCCTCTGTAGTCCTCTCCAAGCAGGGCTGGTTGTTGGGAGGGCTGACTAGCAGGCTGGGATTGAGTGAATAGACACCTGGGCACCTCCAGAGAAGTCAGTCAAGTGGAGCCATAGCCACAGTGGGAGGCTGGCAGCATTGGGCATAATCTGACCATCAGCCCAGGGGAAGATGGGAGTTAGGGAAGTTGTGAGTCTACTAAGTCAAACTTAGGGTCTGTAGAAGAGATTCAGAAACCAGATAAGAGTCCACTAGGTAAGCCCCATCTGCCCTTTGGTTCTTGGGTTCTGCAGGTTGACTGTTCACAGTCTCCAGGGCTAGGGACTGGGGCAGGAAAGTCACCAGGAACAGGATCTCTCCAGACATCAGGGACTTGCTGCCTATTGACCAGGAGGGAGTGGGTAAGAGGATGGCTTTTGGAGTTAGGCAGACCTGAGTATGAAGCCCAGCTTCGTCCCTTTCAGGTTGGGTGACTTCTCTCCGAGCCTTAGTTTCCATGTTATTAACTGGGGATAAGAATCTAATCTCACAGGGAGTCTGTGAGGATTAAATGCGAAAATACTTGAAAATAGGTATTACTATTATTATTAGAGCTATTATTACTCATGGGCACAGTAGTTCAAGAGTTGAGCCTAAGTCTGGAAGTTTCTTCAAGGAAAATGGTGAAATAAGACAGGAGAGGAGAACCCTCAAGTTTTAATTGCTTTTCCTGGAGAAGTGTCATTTGGCTTTTGGTCAAGTTTAGAGGAGCGGTTTGAAATGGTTCTCATTTTATGGTATTTGCATCTGTCAGTCAACAGGCTCTGTAG